CAACTCACTGCTTGGTGAGGGTGACAAGCACACGGACTGCTTCCATGAGGGATTCATGCCACGGGGGAGGGGAGGAGGGAGGGCTACGGGAACACACAGGATGGGTGACCAGTTCAGACCATCAGGGGATCCTGAGCTTCGCCTTCTGAGGTGAGTCGCAGGAAAGACAGGAGAATGTTCCAGGGAAAAGAAGAGCATTAAGGCAAAGGATGCGTGGTGGCAAGATCTAGGAACAAGAAACATTGCAGCCCTGACTGGTTTGGCTCAGTGGATAGAGCGCCGGCCTGCGGACTGAAGGGTCCCAGGTTCGATTCAGGTCAAGGGCATGTACCTCGGTTGCAGGCACATCCCCAGTAGGGAGTGTGCAGGAGGCAGCTGATGGATGTTTCTAACTCTCTATCCCTCTCCCTTTCTCGCTATAAAAAATCAATAAAATATATTTTTTTAAAAAAAGATTGCAGCTGGCTGAACCCTCAAGTGGCAAGAAAGTGGGCGTGTCAGGAAAGGATGCTGGCGAGGCGGACAAGGGATGGCCATGCGGGCCCTGGCAGTCACACTCAGGGACCTTGTTTTCAATCATGAAGGCAATGGGACGGCTACAGGAGTTTAAGCGAGGCAGTGACATGAGAATATTTATATTTGGGGATGATTACTCTGGTGGCAGCGTGAAGAAAATGGACCGGAGGAAAACAAGAATCAAGGAAGGAAAATGAAGGTCCTTAGGAATTGTGTCTGTGGCAGGAGGTGAGGGGGGAAACGATACATGGAAACATCTTTGAGGTTGAAGAGATAAAGACTGATAATTGGATGGGGGGGGTGGAATAAGGATGAAGAACAGTGAGATTACTCTCCAATGGCTGGGGAGCTGGGAATGACCAATCACAGCAGGGCCTGGAGGCAGCTGCGGAGACACATCTGTTGCCTCAGGCAGCACCAGAGGCCACAGGGAAGCAGGCGGTGCCTCTAGACCAGCGGTTCTCAACCTTCCTAATGCCGAGACCCTTTAATACAGCTCCTCATGTTGTGGTGACCCCCAATTTCATTGTTACAAATTGAACATCATTAAAGCATAGTGATTAATGACAAAAACAATATGTAATTATATGTGTTTTCCGATGGTCTTAGG